CAGCGGCAGCCAGGAGGAGGGGAAGAGGAACGTCGGAGGGGGAGAGGACCAAAACGGAACCGGAACCCGTGAAAACCCTGGCGGGGATACCGTCAAAAAACGAACATGCGAAACAAACGAGGGGTAACGAACGCGAAGATGGTGTCTGGAGCTCCAGTTATAGGAGGAGGAGGAGGAGGAGGCGGAGGAGGCGGAGGAGGAGGAGGAGGAGGAGGAGGAGGAGGAGGAGGAGGAGGAGGAGGAGGAGGAGGAGGAGGAGGAGGAGGAGGAGGAGGAGGAGGAGGAGGAGGAGGAGGAGGAGGAGGAGGAGGCGGAGGAGGAGGAGGAGGAGGAGGAAGGAAGGAGGAGGAGGAAGGAGGAGGAGGAGGAGGAGGAGGAGGAGGAGGAGGAGGGGAGGAGGAGGAGGAGGAGGAGGACGGGGAGGAGGAGGACGAAGACGGGGAGGAGGAAGAGGAGGAGGAGGAGGAGGAGGAGGAGGAGGAGGAGGAGGAGGAGGAGGAGAATGAGGAGGAGGAGGAGGAAGAGGAGGAGGAGGAGGAAGAGGAGGAGGAGCAGGCGGATGATATTTCTTACGCGAAGTTTGCTCAAGGGAGGGAGTCGAGGTCCAGGGATCTCTGGGCGTTTCTGGCCTCCCCTGGCCCGCTGGAGACCTCGCCTCGGGAACGCCTAGCTACGGTGGGGGGGCAAGGGGAGGGAAGAGCCCTCCACCTCCTCCTCCTCCTCCTCCTCGTTTCTCCTCCTCCTCCTCGTTCCTCCTCCACCTCGTTCCTCCTCCTTCTCCTCCTTCTCCTCCTCCTCGAGCGTGCCCCAAGGGGGCGCCGCAGTCCTCGAGTTCACCTTGCCGCACCTGAAGTGGCACAGGCAGCAACTGCAACTGGCCTCCGCACCTGGTGCCTAACTGTCGCTAACACTGAAACGCATGCCTGCTCTGCGAGGGGGGATTCGGGAGGGAACGGAGGGAGTTGTGAAGAAAGCACGCGTGCACGCAAACAACAATCGAGGCTCGAGACGGATTGGCGACCCAAAACCTCTGAATTGGGCACTCGGGCAGAGAACGCTGGACACGCTGCGCAAGAAGGCGCTCGAAGTGGGGACAGCACCATGCATGGGCAAACCTATGGGGGGCTGAGCGCCCGAAAGTGCAAGGATTATCTTCTCGAAATCGAATTGACGTGATCCACCCCCCAGTCTGAATTCTCAGGGCAGAGAAGCTCCGGGCCATGGGGAGAGAGGGGAGCAGAGATCTGAGGGCTTGCCAATCTATACCACGAGTCGCAAAACCGTGATCAGGAAACCATCGGAGAAGACGTTTTCGGAGGAGCAGTGGCAGTTGACCAGGATAAGCTCTAAGTTGAAGTTCGCGATATACAATGCGCTGAGGATGTAGAGCTTCAACAGGACAACACCTGAGTCCATGAGGGGAGGCTCCTAGAGCTCGCTGTATGTCTTTGACCGTTCGAATGGTATGTTGAGCGTGGGGGGGAAGCAGAGGGTGTGGCGGAAAGCCGTTGTGCGCTTCAGCCAAGTTCGCCGCCAGCGCCGGGGGCCCCCAGAAGTCTGGCCACGGGCGCCCTTGAAGAACGCGGACAATCGGAAAATCATCTGCGCAAGCTCGCTGGAGCTCTTGAAGGACCTGAGACCAACCAGAAAGTGTATAATGACTAGCTCGGACCATCTGAGCAGCATTGACCATCCAGAGGCTCTGGATCTTCGGGCCTCCCCATTTCGATAAATTGCTCCGCGAGCCTTGGCAGGAACACCAGAACGGCGAGCGGAAGACGGAGGCGGGGCTGCTGTGCTCTCGCACCCGCAGCGCGCGCGGCAGGGGCTGGAACTGGCCGGCGTAAGACAGCACGCTAACGGCGCGCGTGGAATACAGCGTGGCCGTCGAGGAAATCGGGGCCCCTGCTTTGCTGATCCTCTTAGAACTCGAAATGCATTTCTGGAACCGGGCCTCCCAGGGCGCGGGGGGGGGGGGGCGCCGCGGGGCACGGGGGCGCCCCAGGATACTTGGCCAGGGGGGTAACCGAACTGCTAGCCAACGAGGGGGCCAGGCGTCTAAGCTCAACCGCGTGCCGCTTTTGAAGTTCGGGGGAAGGGGCCCGCAGGAGGAGCCAACTTGCGCGTGGGAACGTATAGGGACAGGTGGGCCAATCTATCGGCATCGCAGAAAACCTCGAGAAGCCGCGGGATGGATCGGATGGCATTCAAGACATATCCGACGTCGTCGGCGCACGCTCTTGAAACCCCGTGTCCTGGCCGCTCGATTAGCTGGCGGAGCAGCCTCTGGAAGGGATCCATGCCAGTGCCCCGCGCGAAGGGCGCGCAGCTGGCAGGGCACCCCTGAATTATGCCGCCAGGGATCGCGTGCAACACCAAGGTTTGGCCACCATGGAGCCCGGGCAGACGACGCCCTGATGCAAGAGTTCGAGGAACCAGAGAAGAGGAGGGGGGATACCCAGAAGACCGAGAACCATGGACAACCACTCGTGGGCGAGCGAGGGGAACGCTTGACCAACATCGAACGCGAGGAGGCACGGAAGCGACGTCGTCGGCGAGGGCAGCGTGCTGTAAAGTCTGGCCAAGCCGCCGAGCTCGAGAATGTTGTTGCCGAGCTGGCGCGCAGGTGCAAATCCAATCCATTCTGGGATGGGCCCGTGAACTTAGTGGGCGCTTTGGTCAGGGATCTCGCGCAGTACCGGCCAGAATGTTGTTGCCGCAATTCTTAAACCCCAAGGGCCGAGTGCCCACTAATTTTCGAATAATGCCGCCTCCAAGACTGTCTCCCTCCACTTCCCTTCGGAATAAAGACGCCCAGGGGAAACTTGAACCCGTGCAAGAGCTCCTTCCCTGCAAGGACCCACTGGGGGCATTGGTGGAGGACCGCGGCTCCGAGAGGGGCCGTCTGCCACGCGCTGCGCGGCGGCGTGTCGGGGCCGGGGGCGCTGCGCGTCGGCCGGCTGAAGGCGGCACTTGAGCTCGCCGAGCGCGGGCGGGCGCAGCTCGCGCTCAGGAATGCGCAGGTCGAACCTGTCGAGAAAGGCCGCTGCAGCCTCGCTCGCGAACGGCTTCTCGCTAAATACTGGAGTCCAGTGCGCAGCAAGAGCGGCCAGGATATCAGGCGGGGTTTGAGTGATCCCACCATTCGCACGAACTCCAGCAACGGCCATAGCTTCACCGAAGGGGGCCCACAAACGATCACGAGCTCGCTGTCTTGCCGCGTGCTGTCGGGGCCTCATCTGCACATTCGGGTTCAAAATGCCGTTCGTTTCCGCCCGGGGCTTCGCTCGCGCAGAGTGGGCAACCCTCCAGTGCAGCTCGTTCGGTATCGCAGTAAAGGTAGCAGCGTCGGCCAGCGAAACAGGGCGAGTGGCGCGAGACAAGGCCAGGTGCTGACGGCAGAGAGCGCGAGATCGATGGTTAAGAAGAACAAGTTTCCAATCCCGCCTGAATGCCGCCCCATCCATCCCCCGCGCCATAACAAACTTAGCTAATGCGCGATGCTGTCGTTTGAAATTGATGATGTCTCTAGCGCACGTACCTCGCAGCCGCCGCCAGAGGATTTGCAATGCTCGAGAAGAAGAGGAGAGAGATGTTCCACAGATGCTGCCTCCATCGCCTGCTGGAGGAAAGACCGGCACTCCGCGCCGTGCAAGATTTCGCGCGGAACTGGGCGCTCGGAAGGGGGAAGAGGAGGACGGACCTGCGCGGTGGCCGCAGCAGCCGCGTGATCGGACACCTTGGGGGCATGGGGGACCTCGGGGTGATCGGCTACTTCTCCCCCCGACGCATATTGGGCCAGGGCCCGCGAAACAGCCTGTCATTGTGTGCGAGCTGGTTGCGGGCGGAGTCGAAGTGGGCGGGGAGGGGGGGGGGGGGGGGCTGGAATTCAACCATCTTTCCCAATGCGGAATTCCACGGCTCGGGGGGGGCGGGGCGGGGTCAGGGAGCTCGGAGACCTCTTCGGGCATCTGGGTGGGGATGGGGTGGGGCGCAGCTATGCTGTAATCTCCTGCAACCTGAGCAACTTTGTTCAGGGGGTCCTGTCTGGCCTCCTCGAGCTCCGCCTCGAGGCGGTCTAGGAAGACGCGCCGCTGCTCCGAGGACAGGCCGAAGTTGTGCGCGCTATAATGAAGGGGCCCAGCGCGACCCGCTCGCGCCGGCAATCTTGGCGCGTAGAATCCGCCCGTGGACCAGAGGGGTCGACTCGCCGACGGGGAAAGGGGGCTCTGAGCGCCTGAGCCTGTCCTCAGGGCGGGAGAACTTCGGGGTCAACGTCAACGCCCCGCCAGCTTTTAAACGAGGGTGAGGGAGAAACTCGGCGGAGAGAAGGAGATTCAGCTGGTGTAGAAGGTCGTCCACGTCGTGCTGGCGACCGTGGGTTTCTTGTTCTTGCGTGGCAACAATGGGCCCACCCTTCAAGAGCTCGCGAGGGTATCCGGCGCGGTGGGGCCGCTCTGCAGGCGAGCAGTGAAAAAGAGCGCGCGTATTCCAAGTGACGATGCGCGCGGGGATGGGGGGGGGGGGGGGCAACGAGGAGCAGCCAGATAAATGCTCGTGCGCATTGCTAGAACACCATGCATTGCGCTGCGTGCCGCTGCCGACTGCCTCGGTGATCCTCGCCTCGCCGCCGCCGCGCGCGATGCCTTCTGCTTCCGAGCGAGCCGTGGACCATTGGATGCTGGGGGCCTCCGTCGCGCAGGTCGGAGTGGCGCGAATGCGCGGGCGCCAGTTGCAGCTGACCTCGCCCAACTCACGGTCCGCGAAGAGCTTCTTGTTCGGGCAAGTATCCTGCAATACTTTGCGAGCAACTTTCGCTGCCAATTCGCGCTTGACCATGGGGTGTGTGTGTGTGGGGGGGGGGGGGGGGGCTCTTGTCTCCACTGACGTTGATGTCACCCGCTGGGGGCCTTGAATCTGCGGAACTCACCGTTCGCCAAGCGCATGTTGCCCAGGGGCCGCGAGACCTTCCTCGCCGCGTACGCTGGGGCGCCGAGCATCTACATCTTGAAGCGGGCGCCCGTCGGGTCGCCCTCGAGCTGGTAGTCGGAGTCGTCCGTGTTGCAAGCAGCCAGCCATTGGTCCAGAGCAGCTTCAGCCTGAGCCTTCGCCGTCTGCAGCGTGCACGTGGTGATGAGCACGGTCGGGTCGACAGTGCGCTGGAGCTCCAGCGCAGCCCGTATCTCTCGGATGTCATTCTCAGCCGCGTTCAATCGAGCTCCTTGGCCCCTTTGGACTGCCTCAAGCCCTGAGACCCGTCCTTCCACCGTGCGGCTGATGGCGGCGCAGGTGTTGGTGACGCTGGTAGACAAGCCGGTGAGAAACTATGCCATAGAAGACTGAGCTTTCTGCACCGAGGCCAAGAGCTCGGCGCGGAGGGCGTCCAGCTGCGCCGTGACCTCGCCAGCAGACATGCCAGGAGGAAGCAAAAGAGTGTCATCATCACCAATCGCATCTTCGAAACCTTCCTCACCATCTTCGGCCTTGGCGCGCTTGTTTGGAGGTGTCGTTCCCGTGCTGGCCTTGCCGCCCGAACTGCGGCTGTCCGAGCCGTTCGTCGCCATCCTCGCTGCAGGTGCAGATTCTGTAGTGCAGCACCCAAAGGAATGGTGGACGGGCCACGGGAAGGGAATTGGCCAGAAGCCGTGGGCAGGACCCCCAAGCGATCTGAGCCGATCGCTACGGATGGGTCCAAAGCTAATCGCTGATTCTCGGGCGTCCATAGCCCTTCACAACGTTTAACCTTGAGCCAAAATGGCTACGGACTCCTCCTCCTCCCCCTCCTCCTCGTTCCTCCTCCTTCTCCTCCTCGTTCCTCCTCCTCCTCCTCCTCTTCCTCCTTCTCCTCCTCCTCCTCCTCCTCCTCCTCCTCCTCCTCACCACTGCCACCACTACCACCACCACCACCACTACCACCACGATTACCACCACCACTATCATCATCATCATCGTCGTTTTCGTCGTCATCATCATCACCACCACCACCACCATCTCGTCGTCGCCGTCGTCGTCGTCGCCGTCGTCACCGTCGTCGTCGCCGTCGGCGCTGTCGTCGTCGTGGTCGTCGTCGTCGTCGTCGTCGTCACCGTCGTCGTCTTCGTGTTCGTCGTCGTCGTCTTCGTCGCCGTCGTCGTCCTCGTCGCCGTCGTCGTCGTCGCCGTCGTCGCCGTCGTCGCCGTCGTCGTCGTCGTCGTTGTCGTCGTCGCCGGCGCCAGCGCCGCCGTCGCCAGCTGGCGCCGGCGACGGCGCTGGCTCGAGGGAAAGGGAGGGGGGGTTCGAAGCCCCCCGCCCCCCTTGAATCGTCGTCCTCGTCGACGCTCCCCACTGCCGCCGACAACCGCCGCCCGCGCTGGCGCCGGCCCCGGGGGGGGAAGGGGGCCGCCGCCGCCGCCGCCGCCGGCGCAGGGGGGGGGGGTCGAAGCCTCCCCCCTCGAACCGGGGGGGGGGGGGGCTGGTTGTGGACCCCCTCCTCCAAGCGCCCACCGAACGCGCTCTTTCCGAAGGGTAGATGTGTGCCTGCGTGGACCCCAAACAGTCTGTGTTTCGGGGTTCTAGCAGCACGTCTATGGTGCAATCTGTCTGCCGCAGGTCTATATGGTGCAATATGCGTGGTGCAATATATGTGCTATATGTTATGTGCAATATATGTTGTTCCATCCGTTGTGTGCAGCGCAATCTGTTTCTAGTATCTTTAGATGTATACATGTGCATCTGCATATGTATATGTTATACACCCTTCTTGATTGTGCAATACATGTTGTGCCATCTGCGCGGTGCAATCTATGTAGTGACATCTGTATGGTGCCAAATATGTGGTCATGCCATCTGTGCTGGGCGATCTAAGTTGTGCAATCCATCTTGTGCACCATACGTGGCGCAATCTATGTCGTTAGCAACGGAAAAAAACGCATCGCTGGCGTTTTGTTGTTGTTGTTGTTTGTGTTTGCTGTTATGTTAACAACTATGTCGCTCAATCTAATGGCGGCGACTGGTGACGACGAGGCGGCGACGGCGGGAACATAGCCGTCAGACAGCCCACACGGCCCAGACGACGGGCGGTGACGAGGCGGCGACGGGGCAACGACGGCGGGAACATAGCCGCCAGACCGCCTACAAGGCCCAGACGACGGGTGGCGACGAGGCGGCGACTGGGCGGCGACGGCTGGAAAATAGCCGCCAGACCGCCCACACGGTCCAGTGCCGTGGAGGAGGAGCGAGAACCCTTAAGTGCAAGCACTGTCTGGGGTTAACTCTTCCAATCTACCCCCAAAATCGAATGCTCCTTACATCTACGGGGCATTCGACGCATCTCTCGTAGACTTGACGGAACAAATTTTGGGTTGAATCAAGTCCGTAGTCGATCCCCTACTGGAATGCCGCGCTTTTGCAGCACACACCCATTGCAAGTCTCGACCCACTCCAGGGGACAAAAGCTTCTAGAAAAACAAAAAACGGCGTAACCGTGAGCTTTTGGCGCTCCGCGCGGATTTCTTGGATCCGCGCCGGACCCTCCTCCCTGGCGCGCGGAGCGCGTCGGGGGCAGCGCCGGAGGCGCCGCCGGGGTGGGCCCAGCGCGGAGCTCCAGCAGTTTCTGTTCATGCCGTTTTCTGCTTTTTCGAGTTTGCACGCCTCCTACACGGAGTCGGAGTAGGTGGGGTCGGAGCATCGCGCTGCATCGTCGACGTGGGTGATGCATCGGCGACGTCCGCGTGCAGGAAACTGCCCTCCACATCGAGCCGCGTCGCCGATGCGTCGGCGGTGCGGCGCAGCCCTCCGACCCCGTCGACTTGGACCCCATGTCGGAGACCTGGAGAGCTTCGTCCCCGAGGCCCGGCCGGGGCCCCGAGAGGCCGAGCACAGCGAGCGGCCTCCGTCGCTCTCGGGAGCCCGGCGGCGCCTGGGCTGGCGGGGCGCTGCTGCCGCGGCGAGAGCTGTCGCCTCGACGGGGGAGCGGCGCTCAGCGCCCACCCCGCCCACCTCTCCCGTCGAGGCGACAAACCCGCCGGGGAAGATTGGGTGGGTCGCGGGTGGGTCGCGGGGGAGGTCGCGGGGTGGGTCGCGGGTGGGTCGCGGGCGGGTCTGGGTGGGGACGACGCAACAAAACAACAACAAAACAACAACAAAATCCTCGCCAGGGATCCCCACTTCAGCCACGCACCCACGGGCGCCACCTCACTCTTATCCGCAATTGCGGGGTGTCCAGTGCAGTCGTGGGCCCACCTCTCCCCCCCTGCTCTCAAGGGGCACGGGGACGTGCAAATAGATAGACACAGATCCTAGGGTTCCCCACATGTCCTCGTATTTGCTGGGTCTTCGTCTTCCTCCCCACTTCCCATAGTTTCCAATCTTTTGCCGGGGGTCGACGATTCATTGTGTCTGTGTGTCTTTCCCCCCCCTCCTCGGCCACGCGCCAAGCGGAGCAGGCGGAGGGGTAAGGCTTCTTGCAGGCAGCCCTGCTCCCAGAGCCCGTCGCGCTGTGAAAAAGTCACGACGGGAGGTTCTTCGTTACTTTCGGCCTCCGAGGACCCTTCTCGGGCCTCTGGACCGTCAAATAACGGCTGAGGACGACAAGCCGGGCCCGGGGAAAGGGGTCCAGACCTCGTCCTCCTCCTCCTCCTCCTCCTCCTCCTCCTCCTCCTCCTCCTCCTCCTCCTCCTCCTCTCGACAGGGGGTCGACGTCGTGAAAAATCGCAACGTCGGGGGTCTGGGCTTCTTTCTCACCCAGACGTGCGCCGTCCTGACCTTTCCACTGCGGCGCCCCCAGAAGCCCCGACCCTTTCTCCGGGGCTGGCTTCTCCTCCAGAGCCGTTCTTGGACGGTCCGGGGGCTGGGCGGAGGCCGCCAGAGGCCGAGAATGGCAACCCCCCCCGCCCTGATATGTTGTAACGACGCGATCCCAGTCCCTGGAAGTCCCGACCCTTTCCCTGGGACGGGTTTTCGTCCCGAGTCGTTTCTGGACGGCCCCCGGGACCGGCGAGGGCCTCCAGGGGCCGAAAACGATGAAAAACCTCCCGTTTTTTTGTTTGTTTTACGACGTGAGCATGTCTGGGCAGTGGTCTGGGATCGCGCGCTGGATCTCGGGACCTCCCCGTCGAGAACGCCGCGCGGCTGGCGGGGGCCCCCGCCTGTCGCCGCGGACGATGCGCGCGCCGGAGGCGAGGAC